GCCCCGCGCCGGGCTTCCCCAGCCACCGCTGCTCCGCCGCTTTAACCCCTTCCTGCCCCGCCCCGCGCCCGCGGGAGGGCCCAGGCCCCGGGCCCGTGGTGCCACCTGGCGGTCACCTGCCGCGGGCGTCCCCGGTACCGCACGCCCCCTGGTCCCCGCGCCCCGCGCCGGGCGGCTCCCTGGCAACTCCCATTGCCTGCAGCCCAGCTCAGGAAGAAAGCTGGAGGCCTCCGGGTCAGCTGGAGGTCTAGGTGTGACCTCTCGGCCGCGGCTGTCCACGCCTGCCCCCCAGGGCAGATCTGACCCCCAGCCCTAGAGGTAACAGAATCCCTAAACCTGAAGTGACAGCAGAAGGCCCAGGTGCCAAGATTCAATTGTGTTTGCATAGCATTAAGCAAGTAGGTGTACGGAGGACATTTTCGTTGATTGAGGCCCTGGGTGATTTTTTTTTTTTCTGCCCCCTGCCCCACTTTGGTTGTTTTGCTTTTTGTCTTGTTAAAGAAAAATATTAAATGACCTGTGTTAAAGAACCACAACCGGGAAGACTTTATTCAGCACTATTGCAGGAGATCTAGGGACTGCACAATGGGATTGTGCGAGAGGAGACCTAATTGTGCTCAACTCAGACAGAGCACGGACCAAAGGGCATTTATAACCCAGGAGCAGTGGGAGTCAGTGGATTAAACATTACCAAAAGGAAAGGTTAGGGGTAGGGGTCTGACTAAAATTACCTAACAGGATTCTTATTGAAGGCAGTCCAGGGTGAACAGACATCACCTAGGGGGCTGAAAAACGTGGTGAATCCTGATCAGATACCCAGGGTGGGAGAGGGGGCTTGCTAAATCTAGATTTTACAAGAAGGGAAAGGGTGAACCCAGTTTTAGAGGCTGATTTTTAGTTAAGCAAAGAATCTTTGTCAAATCTTTGATATAAGAGATAGAATCAGGTTTAGCATTGTGGCAAATGCCTTTAATACCAGCACTCAGGAGACTGAGGCAGGAGGATTTCCAGTTCAAGATCAGGCTGGGGTGCATAGTGAGATTTTGTCTCCAAACAATGACAACAAAGGTAGAGATCCTATTCCCATTTACAGATGAGGGTAGAAGGGCTAAAGAACCTGGCCCAGAGTGCACAGCTGGTCAGTGGCCGTGATGGTTAATTTTAATTGTGAACATGACATAATCTAGAATCACCTGGGAAGGGAGTCTCAAGGCAGGATTGTTTAGGTTGCCCTGTGAGCATGTCTATAGGAGGTTATCTTTATTATGTTCACTGAGGTGGGAGGACCTGTCCACTGTGGGTGGCACCACCCCCTAGGCAGGGGGTCCTGAATTGCACAGGAGCGGAGAAATGAGCTGGGCACCAGCATGCATGCATGCATCGCTCTCTGTTCCTACTTATGGGTGTGACATGACCAATGCCTTCAAGCTCCCACTGCTGTGACTTCCCTGTCATGATGGACTGTAATCTGGAACTGGGAGCTGAAAAAAACTCCTTCTCTAACTGCTGTTGTCTGGGTATTTTATCACAGCAACCAGAAAAGAAACCAACAGAGTGGTAAAGCCAACATTCTAATAGTTTGGCTCCAAAGTTGAAGCTCTTTGCCCAAATATCCAGACTCCCCCTAGCCTAGGCATGCTCCCATCTGCACCGCAAATTCCCTTCCGGCAACCACTGCCTGTATGTTCTTCCATAGGACCCTCATGCCCACCCATTTCTTTCTACTCGTTCATGATGAGTCACCATGCTTGGGACACAGGCTCTGAGGAAATCTACTCCAGACTCTGAGGAAATCTGCTCTAGACTCCTCATGTGCCCAGAACTGTTTCCAGAACAGGAGGCCAGAGAGGCTCATTACTGCCATTTTATTAATTGAGCATTAAGATGATGACAGGCACTGTACCAAAAGGAGAAGGAAGGATGATGCTTTCCCAGTTGGCTTATCCTAAACAAATTATTGTGATACACAATAAAAAGGAGAAGGTGGAGAGGCCCTTGTGGATTTTATAGCACCCCTGGGACTCTATACAATTTGTATAAACAGATGGCAGGTAATTAGGAAGACAGAAAGAAACCCTGATATTAGGGACAGGTTGAGTGCCTCCTTTTTACTAATGACAGCATTAGAGCCACCTTGCTGTCATTCCAGGGACATCTCCCAGCCAGGACAGGGAAATGAAAAGTATGCTAAGTCCCCAACTTCTACTAGGGTGCCAGCCCATGGGAACACAGAGTTCCAGACCAGCTAGATGGCTTTATGAAGCAGCATTGCCCTCAAGGGTCAGGTCACTTTCTTCAAGTAGAAACTGCTTCTAATGGGAGTGGTTAGAATGAAGCCCCTTCCAGAGTTGAACCAGCATTAAAAAAAAAAAAAATCTTTGAGGGCTGGAGAGATAGCTCATTGGGTGAAATGCTTGCTAAGAAAGCACAAGGACCCGGCTTTGAATCTCCGGAACCCATCTAAAAGTTGGACTGGACAGCATGTGTCTGTAATCCTAGCGCTCCTAAGGAAAGATGGAAGGGGAGACAACAGAGGCCCCAGACGCCCATGGGCCAGCTCCTCTGGCATTTATGGGGACAAAAAAAAAAAAAAAAAGAAAAAGAGAGAGAGACCAAAAAGGTGGAAGGCTAGGACCCACATCCAAGGTTGTTCTTTGACCTTCACATGCACACCATGGCATATGTGCCCCTACACTCACATATGTGCACATGCATACATATACATGTCACACAGATACACACATAAATAAAAATTTAAAAATCTTTGAGGAATTCCTAGTATTTGGGGAGTCCTTGTATGTACACGTGTATATGCATTCATGATCCTGTATATACTGGTGTGCTGGTTCATCTTGCTTTTTGAGACAGGATCTCATTTTTACCTGGAACTCTCCTATTTGCCTAAGCTGACTGGCCAGCAAGCCTCAGAAATCTGTCTCTGCCTCCCCCAGTGCACACCACCACATTCACCTTTTGCAGGTGAATTCTGGGATTTGAGTTCGTGGCAATCACTTTGCCAACTGGCAAAACCATTTCCCCAGCCCTGAGAGTTCTTAATAAATGCCAGTCACTGGACTAGAGCATTGCCTAATAACAACTTCCTTGGCTGATATTTCTGTTTTTTTCAGATCAAAAAGTCAAGATTTAGTGACATTAGATAGTTAATCCCAAATATACAGGTTTGATGGTAGCAAGCTCAAATTTCCTATACCATATCACCTCTGAAAATAACCTCCAGCAATGTCCAAATCGTTTTTTTTTCACTTTTTTTTTATTAGAAGAAGCATTTAACAATTCAGACCCAGTGAAGTCTGAATCAAGTTCAGTGTGGTATCAATGTGGGTTTCTGGGCTTTGATAGTATATTACAGTTCTATAAGATGTTACAATTGGGGGCAGCTGTGGGAATGATATATAGGACCCTTGGTTAGTTTCTAATGAATTTGTCATGATTTCAAATAAAGTTTTCAAGAGTAAACACATCTGTTCTATGTCATTTTTCTAAGCCTCATTGTTCACTCAGACCATAATTCAACTATATAATTCTAGAAGGGAGCAAGAAGTCTTCATAAAGCCTATATCAAGTTTGAGTCACAATCCTAACTATAGACATTTGAGTGTGATGGTTGTTGTTGTTGTTGTTGTTATGTAACAAAACTTTTGTGTACAGCCTGACCTTTTAAGAGACGCTTATGTACCTTCATAGCAACAACAAGGCTTACATAATTTTGGAATCATATACAGTTTCTGAATCATATATAAACAGTTTCTGAACTACCACCCCATTCTATTTTGCAAATGCCTCTGCAAAACAGAAAGGTTAAATCAGTTGCAGAGTACATGCTGGAAGCTGTGCCCAAGCCCAGAAAAATGCCAGCCTGGAGGAGTGTTCTCTCGTCTCGCGGTTGTTTCCCAGTCACTTGGGTTAAAGCAGCACAAATTCTGCTACATTGCACAAGCAAATATATTTTCGAATCATGTACCCAGAATTATGTAAGAATTAAATAATCACACTTACCCTTTACTGGAATACAAGAAATTGGTTTACCTTTTTCTTATGTTCCGATCATCAGACACCCACGCAGCAACTGCAGTGGGAAAAAATTACTTGACAGGGAGTGTTTGCTGAACAATGGAAGTCAGGAGTGTTCTTTCCTTTTGGAACTTTTCCTGTTGCTTTTATTAAAACCTCTCATTGTTTGAGTAGAAATGGTTTATGACTGCACCGACTTAGATGGCTTAGAAGTCACTTGACTGTGCAGCATTTTATTTCAGTGTTTGAAACTGGTGCCAACATAAAGCAAGCCACATGCCTTTCCTGTCCAAAGTTTCTAGAGACCTTGATTTCAGGACTCTGTGTCAAGGTTTCTTAGCTTCAGATTATTTGTTCTGTTGAGTGCTTTCCTGGTGTTGGTGACTCGGTGGAATTTTACTTGTCTGAGTTTACATCCAGAGTCATTGTCCTTTTCCTCTTTGACTTCCCAGTTCCTGCCTTGAATCACCCCCCACTCCCTCCTGCTCCCACATCCCATGCCACCGCCCCACCCCGCCCCTAGTCAGAACTACTAGTTAACAGCAAACTTGTTGTGAGGATTGCAGAGGTCAGGAAATATGGCATGGAGGACTACTGTTTGCTGGAGCTTTTATTACAGTTTAGATTAAGTGTATCCAAGGATAGAAATTCTAAGGGCTTAGCATTTCAGTCTGAATTCCTTTGCATCCATTGAAAGTGTGTGTTGGGGGTGGTATCTAGGGACTGGGAGGCTAAAGATATAGTGCAGTTGGTAGAATGCTTGCCTAGCATGCAGTAAGCCCTGGGTTTCATCCCTAACACTGCATAAAATGATGTGGTGGTGCATGCTTGTAATACTAACACTTGGGAGGTATTAAGCGTTCAAAAGGTATCAAGGCAGGAGGATCA